AATGTATTTTTAAATTGTTGAATTGATTAATATGGAAGTGAGATTCTCCAATGATAACCAAGTCTCTAAATATAAGCACTAAAATAGGTAGTGGTTAAAAGTATTTTTACATAAATATTTATAAATATAAATATTTATAAAATAAAATTGACAGCTATATAAGCATTTTTAATAACCATGGCTACCAATTACAATGGAGGGTTTTAGAAGTACTGAAGGCCAGAGGTGGAAGTCCTGTTCACAATCACACAGTAAGATAATAATCAAGCCAGGATAAATTCTGGTCTTCCCAAACCCTAATATAATATCTCTCCCTCTACTTTCCTCTTCCCTCTCTCCCTCCCTCTCCCCCTCCTCCTCTCCCTCTCTCCCTCTCTGTCCTTCTCCCTCTCCTCTCTCTCTTTCTATTTTGAGACAGGGTTTCTCTGTGTAGCCCTGGCTGTCCTGGAACTCTCTCTGTAGACCAAGCTGACCTCGAACTCAGAGATCTGCGTGCCTCTGTTTCCTGAGTGCTGGGATCAGGGAAATGCACTAGGAGTTACCTTTAAAGGAGCACAGAATCCTAAATTTCCCCACAATGGCCTGGAGAGGCGCTGCCATCACGGGGGGGGGGGGGGGGGGCAGGGGGGGCAGTTTCTGACCAGCCAGTGTAATGGGTGCCTGAGTTCAATTTACTCTTAAAGGAAAAGTTTATTTTGAGCCTCTTTATAACTTGAGAGTCTGGGCCAATCAGTAATTCTTACAAAGTATGTTGAAAGAAAGAAAGAAAAAATGGGACCTATTTTGTTTTATTTGTTTTGGCCAAAATTTTAGGTACAGTATTTGCTCACAGTGGAGTTCAACTCTCTGTAACTAAAGGACTGCCTTGCCTAAGAACAAAGAATTTAAGATTTGAAGTTAGATAGACATTTGCACCCCACTGAACTAACCCTCTGACCCTGAATTTGTAACTCAACTCCTCTTGGACTCACTTTTCTTCTGCATATAATAAAGAAATAACGATTTTCTTAATTGTTTATTAAAATGAGATAAAGTTTTAAAAATATACTATTTGTGTGATGGGAATGTTGATAATTAGTGAATTAAATAAATAATAAATGGAAGTAACAATCTGTAAAGATTTACATGAACTCTGTAAGAATGGTGAGAGACAGCACAACAGGGACTGGAGAGACGGCATCGTGGTTAAGAGCACTTCCTGTTCTCCCAGGGAACCCAAGTTCAGATCCCAGAACCTACATCATGTTGGGTGGCTCACAACCACGTCTGAGCCCGGCTCTTGGGGATCCAGTGCCCTCTTCTGGCCTCAGCATACATGTGGCCAGCACATACACACACACACACACACGCACACATACACACTTTCTCCCTGTCTTTCTCTCTCATAAATGAAAATAAATCTTAAAAAAATAAGAAATAATACAAAGGATAGCTAGCTATTTGGCTTTGAAAGCAATAGAAGGGTATAAAATTTAATCAATAGTCAAATTAAAATTTTTCACTACAAAATCTTTCCAAGAAAACAAAAGAATTCATGAGAATGCATGTCAGGACTCTCAACACCCTTATGTGGATCAGGCTAACCCACTGGATATGAAGCTGTATTGAACTGACAAACAGAGTTTCCACAAAATCCCATGGCAAGTCTCCACTTAGGAGTAATATTTTTTTAACTAACTATTAAAACTTTTTCAGGGATCCTGCAGCTCCTAAGGAAATACCAACTTTTGAAAAACGCTGTTAACGTAATGCTGACTCCTATTCATAGTCTTCCTCCCCCAGTAGACACACGTTTTCCCATACATCATTGATACACCCCATTTCTTTCTGAGAGTCACTTTAACTGTTACTGTTAGGAGGCCAGGTATGGTGGCAAATGTCTGTGATCCCAGCATTTGAAAAGTGGATGCACAAGGTTATCAAAAACAAAAAACAAAAAAAACCCTAGGGGCTGGAGAGATGGCTCAGTGGTTAAGAGCACTGACTGCTCTTTCAGAGGTCCTGAGTCCAAATCCCAGCAACCACATGGTGGCTTACAACCATCCGTAATGAGATTCGATGCCCTCTTCTGGTGTGTCTGAAGACAGCTAGCTACAGTGTATCCATATAAATAAATAAATCTTTTAAAAAAAAAAAAAAACCCTAAGGGAGGCAAAGGAAAATGAAGGCTGCAAGTCTTATGTTTTGATAATTCAGAAATATTCAGAAAAACAGAAGCAGAGGAAGAGCTGGAAAGGGTTCCAACAGATCCAGTTGACATGTCTCTCATGGGGACAAAGGAATGGATTATAGTAGGAAGTGGGTATTTCTACCTTTCAAACCTACATTGTCCTCTGCTCAGCCCGACAGTGCATTTGCTTAAGCAACTGGAAGGTAGACAGACCATGTGAGCTCAAGAAGTCAGTATGGGCTCAGGTAAAACCAGAGAGCACTATCCCTTCTCAGTCTCCCCACATGTAAAGGGCTGTAGATATTCCGGCGGTGCTCATCCCAGGGAAAGAGAGCCGTTTGACCAAGCCCCCTCACTTTACACTGAAGGGCACCAGCAGTGTGCAGGCTCTCTTGAGGTCACAGAGCTAATTAGTGACAGCATCAGGAATAGAAGTGAGAGGCCTTTGAAGACTTGGCCTTTCTGTGGGAACAAAGCTACCATTGAAGCAATAGATAGGAAATGCTTTGTAAAAAAAAAAAAAAATGCAATATTGTAAGGGAGGACTGTCAAAGACATATCTAATCCTAGCAGAGGCATCTGTGGCAATTAATTAAGAAAGGCCCCTTTGAAGCACCCCTGTGCCATAGCAAGAGTCTTCTTTTCTTTAAAACCAAATGCGCTAGGTTTCAGTTCCCAACAAAGACACACGAAGTAAACAATTAACTGAATTAATTCAGGCACTGAAGTGGATTTTCAAGGACTTGACTTGCCCAAGCTAGTTTTCTACAAAGCCTAAATAAATCAGATAATTGCTAATTCTCCTCTTTGTTTTGCACTGAGGAGAGTCTGTTTGTTAAAATGAGCCTAGCAGCGGAATAAACAATCATTAGAACAATCTCCAAGCTCCACATCGGACCAGGACAGCACATTCCAAGCACACTAGCTCTGCTACTACATTAAAAATATTACCTTTTTGTTTTAACTGAGAATCTTTTAACCAAATGTTTAAGACCCAGGCTGTTATATGCATGGTTGGTGGCACCCTCCTTTCCTCCACCCCCCACTCCCAAAAACAGAGACATCCTTCTGGTGTAACTGAACACAAGTTAGATCTTCTGGGCACAGTTCCTACTGATTCACGTTTAAACACAGTCACTTTACCATGATTCTAAATAGCATCTGCTTCATAGCTGTTCAGGTTTTGAGATTAATCCATATATGCAAAGTAGCTCCCATTATCAGAGGAAAGTTGTGAAAATAACTTAATTAGTTGGATCAGAAAAAAATAATCAGGAATGAAATGGAAGTTTCAAGACCTTTCATCAGTATTTCAGAATCCAGACAACTATTCTTATCATTTATATTTTCTTGTTGCACAGCTAACATAAAACAGACCCTTGTGACAAGAATTAAGTATTTTACCAAGTAAGCCCAGGACCAGAATATTAGAATGGGCCAATGTAGGTACAGGGCTGAGTCCTATTGTCCTGAGTGCCTGAGGTTCAGTAAGTGTGTGTGTGTGAGTGTGTGTGTGCACGTGTGCGTGTATGTATATTTCTGTGTGTTTGTGTGTATATATATATATATATGTGTGTGTCTCTGAGTGTGTTTGTGTGTGTGTATCTCTGTGTGTGCCTTTGTATATTTGTATGTGTGTCTGTATATGCCTCTGTGTGTGTTTGTGTCTCTGTGTGTGTCTGTGTGTGCATGTAAGTATATGTCTGAGTGTGTGTGTATATATCTGTGTGTCTTTATATGTATGTGTGTCTCTGTGTGTCTCTGTGTGTGTTTGTGTGTCTGTGTGTTTGTGTGTGTCTGTGTGTTTGCCTATGTGTGTCTCTTTGTGTGTGTATTTCTATGTGTATCTCTCTGTGTGCTTATGTGTCTCTGTGTTTGTAATTGTGTGTATGTGTGTTTCTGTGTTAGTGTGTGTTTCTCTATGTGTGTTTGTGTCTATGTGTGTGCATGTGTGTATGTGTAGAAGTTATGAACTCACAAGTAGCAGTTAACTGGCAAGCTGGGTGCCCAGTATAATTTGGTTTTGTAGGGCACTAATTGAAGTGAAAATGTGGCTAAAATACTTCATGGAACATAATAACTGTTGATTGCCAGATAGTTTTGGTAAACAGTTGGCAAATTGCAACTCACAACAGCTGTCACTATATATTTAGAGTAAATGTTAATTTAAGAATATTAACCTCCGGAGTGTTTCTGTAAACAAAGCTTCTACTATTTTCAAAGGTTACAGAGACTGGCTTGAGTATTTTTAGCCAAACCTACTGCAGCTTGGCCCTCACTGTTTCTGAGTTCTTTCGCTTTACACTTGAAAGGCTTCAATCCTAAGTGCCTTTGCAGAGAATCCCTTGGGAATGCAAATGGCAAGGACATATGCGTGATAGATTTACATCTTGGAGGCCGGAGAATAAACTAATAATACTGCTAGTATTGCTAGCGATGAGTTTTGCTCTGTGGGGTTGCGGGAGATAGGGGAAGAGAAAGGGAGAGGGGGTGGGGGGTTGACAACAAAATCCCACCGTTTCTAAATAAAGTAAGCGGTTTTCCAGCCTAGCTTCCAGAGTCTGAAACCCTGCTGGCAACAAACATTAGCGAGGCTCTGTTTTTGTCCAGTTTGAACTACTCACTTCCAAGTAAGATTTGCACGACAGATCTCAAACTCTTGTGCAAACCGCGAAACAATTGCATCAAGAATCAAATTCACTTTCACGCGCTCGCAGCCTGGTGCAGGACTTGGCTTCAGGCATGCTTGCCGGGAGTTGATAGCCATTTTTCCCCCTTTGAACATGCGAGGAAAACGCAGTGAAAGTTCCAACCACACACAAACGCCTACCTGCTACTCTCCAGTGCTGTGCTCCAGACTCACGCTTTCCGCAGCTTGGTAGCACTTCCGCGCCAAATGCTTTTACCTTCCCAAAAATGTGTGTGGGCGCAAGCCCAGACAAACTTCAAATCCAGGAAAATGGATTACCCGCGCAGATCAAAGGCAGGAGAACTAGGAGATGGAGTGCCTGTAATCTGATCGCCGATCAGTTGCTGAGCATCAAAGGCAAGGCTGAGCTTACTCACTACGCGCTCTGATCTAGAAAGTTCGCTACCGTCTGGTTCTTTTGTTAAAAGTGGGCCACGTTGTTCTGGCCCGGCTCTGGAGAGCAGGCTTCCCCGGCCTGGGCTGAGCGGCTGGATCTGCAGCTCTCACGAGCGCGGTGCCCCAGCTGGGCTGCCTAGTGCCAGCACTGCTGCGCCGCATCCCTTTCATCTCGCTGAGTGGCAGCTCCCATGACATCATGCCGTGCCGTGGGGCTGGTCGGGAGAAGCCAGTCAGCCTGATTTCTAGTCGAGTTGGTCTGTGCCTCGCCCGCGACAGCCCTGCAGTGTGTCTCTTGGCTGGGAGGGACACACCGGGACTGCTATGGGCCGCTGTGCTCCTGACCTGTAAGGTCCCGGACCGGTGCAGGTTCCAGTAGACAGCGTCGGGCCGCTGCCTGTGACAAAAAGCACGACGTCCCACCAGAGCAGGATGTCTGAAACGCAGCAGAGCGCCACAGCAGTGTTTAATTAGGCCGTTTCTCCGAACACCTGCCTTATACCGCCAGGGTCATAGGCAAACGTTTTAAAAGCTTGAGTCCCCACCCCAACACGCAGCTCCCTGCCCCAACACACACTTAACTATGATAAGTCTTTAAGAATTAGTAAAATGTCTTTTCCTGGCGAAAGAAATCATTACAGGTGGCGCCAGTTAAGTATGCCTTTCATTGAATAGTGAAGGGGTCGAGGTTACAACTTACAGGGATATCACCATATGCCCACTGGACACCTGGGTCAGAAGCTTGTTAATCTGAATTTGGGGTCCTAATAAAACAACAACAACAACAACAAAGGACGCTTCCTTCTGAGATGTAACCCATGGGTACATCTTGCAACTCCTAAAAGTCACAAAAGAGTTACTTAAGGGGAAGCATTTGCTTGCAATCACTCCACAGTTTCTGTTACAGGCAAGACACAAACCACAGTTTGAAACCAGCTGAGAAATCGCCACCTTGTTTTCCGTAGTGTAAAATGAAACTTAGTGTCCGTTGTTTAGGATACCCACAATGGTGAGTAAGCACCATGGTAGGAATTGCGACACGGTTTTGAACCTGGAGCTGTTTGTTGTGGGAGAGAGGAAAGATTTCCAGTTTACAATGGAAATGTGTTAGTTTGCAGAAGGGCAATGAAAATACCTTCTGCAGCACCTTTGGAGAAACCCACTTCCTTCCTTATCAATTGCATCTCATTTTTCCTGGTGTGATATTTAAAAATAGTTTATGGCCTGTCTATCTCCAGCTGTCTTTGATTCCTGGGTAAATCTTAATAGCAAAATACTTGGTTTGAACAGCATGTTGAGTTCATTGTAGTACTTAAATAAATCTATTAAGTTTCCAGTATTTTTTTCCCCAGTCGGGGTCGAGGCTGGACCCCAGGGCCTGTTCATGTTAGATAAGCCCTCCATCTCTGAGATGTTCCTGAGACACATGGGGCTCACTTTGTACTTGTTTGTTTTCTTTTTCTTTTTTGAGACAGTGTCTCCAGTGTCATGAGCTGACCTCAAAAGTGCTGTTTATTCAAAGACAGCTTTGAACTCTTGATCCTCCTAAAGGCTGGAATTACAGACATCCGTTGCTACATTCAGTTTATGTGATTATGGTTTCTGAACCTAGGACTTCATGCATATTAGACAAGCACTCTACCAATTGAACATGTACCCAGCCCCACATCCTTAACATGAGTAGGCATGCTTTTGCATACCACCCCAAGACACCTGCACCTACACAGCTCCTAAGATCCGGGGACTCGTGAAATCAGGGGCAAGAAGAGTTTATGAAGGCTGACTCTTCTCTGAGGTAACCCAGATGTTCCATGGCCTGGGGTCCATGCCCACAGCCTTCCTCAAGTTTGCCGTTCCCTCTACCTCACCACAGCTGATGGAAACAGCTGGGTGCTCTTACCTCTGGGTGAGCAAGTTCATCACAGGTCTCTACAGTTTATCACCCATAGGAAATGGGCAAGGGTTGAATTCAGATGCTTAAATATCTAGAAGCTTCCAGAAGGCATCTGAAAGCAACAGCTTCAGTGAACACACCAATCAAACTAGCTCTACATGAATCTCACAGAACAACACTGGTTGTTCAAACATCTTTGCTATTAAGCCTGTACACTGAGTTGGTCTTTTTGAGACAAGAACTATCCATGTGGGAAATGAAACAATTGGATAGAGAATGTGGCTAAAGGCTGGTCTCCAAGGAAGAGTGACCTCTTGACCTGAAGCTTGTTTGCACTGTGCTCAACTGAACTCCCTGCAAAGTGAAAGGTGGCCCAGCCCTTGCAAGTCTCAAAGGCAGCATGAGGGCTTGACTGGGAGGCCCATTCCTTTCACCTCTAAGAGGCACAGAAGAGGGACAGCAAGATAACTCAGCCAGTCAACGAACTTGCTGCCAAGTCAAATGACTTAAATTTCATCCCCAAGACCCACAAGTTATCCTCTGAGCTCAACTGAAATAAAATGAGATGTTCCATGTCCAGGAACCCATCACTACACTTGACATAAAATCATGGGGATTTCTTTCTGAGAAATCTGTCATGCAAACATCAGAATGTGTTACAGAAATCTAGATGGTATTATCTACCATCTAGATACACTTAGGGGATCTGGTACACACACATACACACACACACACACACACAGAGAGAGAGAGAGAGAGAGAGAGAGAGAGAGAGACTAGCATATTGTTCATGACGAACCAAATAATAATAAATTCAAAGACAGAGAAGGTGATGCAGTTGGAAGAGGAGTGAATGGTGGCAGAGTAACAGGCCTGTTGTGTTACAGTGACCTTTTTTAAAATAAGAAAGCATGTTCTCTTGATAATGAGAAACATAAACACATAAATACGTAAACCAGCAGCATGGGGCCTGTTACTACTAACAAGTATTAAGTCACATATTCTGGGACAAAGCTATCTTAGGAATAGTCAGCCACAGCATTTTGTCATTGACTCCTGGTTCCTTATCACAGCATAAATGGCAACTCTTACTCTCTTTACAAAGTTGCACTTTGGCCACTTGATTATGCAGAGGGAGAGACCGTCTTCTGATACAGTGGAGCATTGGACACAGTTCTATAACATTGTGACTGGTGAGGCAGACGCCATTAAAGGAAAGAGAAAGCTTCTAAAGGAGAGGGGACTCATGTTGCCACTCCGCTGCCACTAATTTTCTCATCACCTGAAACATTCTTCCTTTGTTTATTTCTGTTTCTTCATTTCTGCTCTTGCTTGTTCTCCCTCCTCATCCTTCTATTCCTTCCTTTAAGATAGAACTTCAGGGGCTGAAGAAATGGCTAGTGGTTAAGAGCACCCCAAGAGATCCTGAGTTCAATTCCCAGCAACCACATGGTGGCTCACAGTCATCTGTAATAGGATCTGATGACCTCTTCTTGTGTGTCTGAAGACAGCTACAGTGTACTCATAAATAAAATAAATAAATCTTTTTTTTAACAACAACAACAAGAAGACAGAACTTTCCATGTATCCCAGGCTAGCTTCTAATTCATGATTCTCCATCCTCTGTTAGTTTGCTTTTTTGCTGTTCTGATAAAACATTCTGAATAAAAGCAACTTAAGTTAGGTGAGGGGAAAGGGGTTTATTTCTGTCTAACTCTCTCCCAGTCATAGCCCATCACTGAAGGAAGTCATAGCATGAAAGCAAGCCAGGCAAGAACCCATCAAAAAACATGAAAGAAGGTTGTTCTCTGATTCATTTCTGTTAGCTTTCATATACAACCCAGAGCCCTGCTTCCCTGGCCTAGAGTTGTGGCCTTCCCACACCAGTCATCAATCAAGCACCACTTCGCAGTCATTGGCTACATCGGCCATGTTAATCTGATCTTGGCAACTACTCATGTAAGGCTACCTTTTCCCAGACTCAGAGTCCAGGATGACCAGTGATCTCTATCATCATATGGCCTATCATCATATACCTTCTCCAGAATGCTGATAGAGAGAAGCATACAGTATGTTATGAGGAGCAGATTGAATCTTGAGTGAACGGGTGTTGTTGACATGAACACAGCCGTGCTTCAGACCTACAGAAATGGAAAAACCCTCTTCTGGTATCTTCTAGTACCAGTGTTGAGGAAAGATTCACCTTTATCTAAAACCACTGTGTACAAAGCCTTCCTTGGGGATATGTCCAAATGTTGAACAGGGTATACTGAAAGCACCAAGCCCAGCTTCCTACTTCTCTGCAGAGACGTCCCAATGAGACCAGCTGACCCACCTCCTTGTGCAGCACATAATGAAGGGCCAGATTTCCCTATTGTATAGTAGGTATCCTCCATCAGGTGGAGAACAGCCTCTCCTGTCTCAGCTTTTCTGTATGTGCATCTGCCGTTTTCTTCAGTGTCTGTCCTTTATTCACTCTCAAGTCACTCCAGTCAGGTTTCCAGGACCAAGCCTTGCTAGACATGGCAGTATGTGGCCTTTCTGTGTATCTATTTCACATAGCAGGGTGCATTTAAGGTCTCCATGATAGATGAGAGAGATGGCTCGGTGGTTAAGAATAGTTATTACTGAAAGGACTGGAATCAGCACAAGACCAAGTTCTCAGTGCAAAGGAGATTTATTTGCCCCAGAGGGACAGAGGTCAGGGAATAAGAGACAAATACAGGAAACAGAGGACAGGGAAGAAAAGGAAGAGAAATAGGGGAGGAGGAAGGGATATTTACCCCAGAGGGACAAAGGGCTGCCTCTGCATAAAAAGGAGACAGATGTGGCCCACAGACAAATGGTAGTTTATAAAGGAAAAAGGAAAATCCCCATGTTAGGATGAGATGTTTAATTTTGATTGGACATGTTAATTAGGGTGTTTTCCATGCTTGGGCTTGTTAGAGTCCCTTCAATTACTTGCAGAGGATTTGAGTTTGGCTCCTAGAACTCATGTCTGGTACCTCCCAACCACCTGTAACTCCAGTGCCGGGGGAAATGATGCCCTTGATGTCCTCTTCTGGCCTCTCCAGGCACTATCTTAATCACTGTTTTATTGCTGTGAAGAAACACCATGATCATAGCAACTCTTATAAATGAAAGCATTTAATTAGGGCTGGCTTACAGTTTCAGAGGTTTAGTTCATTATCATCATGGCGGGGAGCATGGCAGCACATAGGCAAACAGGATACTGAATAAGTAGCTGAGAGTTCCACATCTGGCTCAGCAGGCAGCAGAAAGAAATGGACAGTGGGGCTGGCTTGGGCTTTTGAACCTCAAAGCCCATGCCCAGTGACACCGTTTCTCCAACAAGGCCACACCTACTCCAATAAGACCATACCTCCTAATGCTTCTCAGGTTGTATGCCACTATCTGATGACTTAGCATTCAAATAGATGAGCCCATGGGGGCCATCCTTATTCAAACCATCATATTTCACTTCCTGGACCCTTGCAAATGCATTTAGTTCAATTTTAAAAATCTCCATAGTTTATCACAGTCCCAACACTGTTTAAAAGTTCAAAATTCAAAGTCTGTTTTGAGATTCAAA